CGAGGCCAGACCACATGTGACGGTCACTCGCCGAGTGGTTTGTCATAACCTTATTGTTGCCTTCCCTCCACGAGTCATGCCGAGCGGTTTAGTTCCACCAAACCTACCGGGAACTGTACCCGAACCGAGTCCCTGACACGGTCCAGCCCCTGGGAGAGGTGGCTGGCGGCCAAACTCCACACTCCCTCAGACCAGCTGCCTGCCGTCCCGCGTCCCTCAATGGTGCTCCACTGGCATAAACACACGGCTGACCCTGACACAGACAGGGCCGCCATACTCATAACACTTCCCGCTTCCAGCATACGTGGATAGCGAGAGAGCCCGGTTCGGTTAGCAAATGTCATCTCACATGCGGTTAGGCATTGCTCAGTCAGGGTGGAAAATGACGCCAATGATACACATGTGACGCACGCTGCACATGTTTTGCCGACGACAGCAGTCGGCAGACGCCATCCGTTTTCAGTGACGCCATCATCCCTGAGAAGATCTGACCCCTGAGTGTGTTCATGTGAGCCCGGTGGGCAGTCCGCAGCCTGTGGCCGACACTGGCAGGTCAGAAGGCCTCTGACGTCACGGTTCCGAGGAAGGGTCAGTCTGTATGTAGTTACAGAGGTAGCTGTTGAAAGGACAGATGAGCAGGGATACAAAGTCCATCCTGCAGGGACAATAAAGGACGGGATGTCCGGGCGATCCACCGACGTCATCCCGTCTATGAACTGATCAGCAGACAGGGCGATAGAGGCGGGGAAGACCAGCTGTGGTCGCCACTCGCGCAACATAATATAGAAATTACGGTCATGTGCCACGCTCATCATCCAGTCAAGGTTATAAGGATGCATTTCTATAACACATTTTCGCAAGACCACATAAAAGCAAGACAAGACATTACAACTTTTACGATGACAAATGCGCCTCCAAACTAATGGCAAATCCACGATTTTAACCCTATTCCTGGCGGGGGGGGGGGGCCTCAGGAGCCCCCCCCCCCTGAGGTTTTTTGGTTATTTCTCCCAAACGCGTTGAGCTAGGAAGCTCAAATTTTCTGACTTTTCCTAAAAGGCTTCTACGCAACATGTCTGAAAATTTTGAGTTGGTCTGACCTCAGGTCAGGTCACCAGAGGCGGTTTGGTGACCCTACCTCAGAAAAGTTTGCAATCACGCCAGAGCTAGAGTTTTTGACCGATCAATTTCTTCTCTTCAGGCTTTAGTTAGGGTACCAGTATGTGCAATTTGTATATCTCGGAATTTTGATATCGGTGACCTAAGGTCAGGTCAATTTCGCGACCTCCCCATTATAAGTCAATGGGGGAAAAATCAACTCCCTGTTTTTACCACTAAAACGGGTCGGAATGGCCCCATATACCATACATGACTTCATATACGATCAACCTTCACTACCTTGAGGTCTGTTTTGCTGTTGGGCAGCTGTGAGGTCATGTGACGTCATCAAAGGTCACCAAAGGTTTTTGGCCAATAACTCCGTACAGGAACAAGATACAGACGCGTGGATGGTCTCATTGTGTTCAGCTTGTCAAGACGCATCGAATGATATACATTATGACCTCGAGGTCACGTGACCTGAGGTCAACCTTTGACCTTGACCTTGCGAGGTCAACATATATATCATTCGATGCGGATTGACGAGAGGATCACGATGGTGCCCTTAGTTTGTTCCTATCTTGACTAATTCGAAAGTTATTCGAGAAAAACTCTCTCCATATCTAGCGCCGCCATTTTGACTTTTTCGACCCCTGTGACGTCATCTTTGACCTGACCTGAAAATGACCTTTGTAAAAATTGTAGATCTTGACCGTGCGTATCCGATGCCGTTTACCGTTTGTCGCTATCTTGCTTCGTTCTCGAGATCTCAGGGGGGGGGCCGAATCGCCCCCCCCCCCGCCAGTTTCTTGTCCCGGCGGAGCCCGCCAGGAATAGGGTTAACAAATTTTGGCACGAATCGCAACCACCCTCATAAAATTTCCGCAATACAATGCGTAATGAACTAGCGAGTCTAAAAACAACTAAAGCTCTGGCTGGAACCTCTATAAGAGCCGTTCTGTGCAAACGGTCCGGTATCCAAGACAGCCACCCAGCGCGAGGGGCCCGCTGGGGGTGTCTGCCGGCTGCAGGGACCGCGGTCCTGATGGCGCCGCACGTCCCAGGACCGTGGACTGACTGTGGCAGGAGTCATCAGCCGCACACAATGGCCAGACAGCGTGCAACAGCGCGACCCTGCAGCAGGCCGGCAGACTGTCAGATACAGACCGGCAGACCCAGACCATGTGGAGTCCGGATCCAGCCAGACTGGGTCTGTGTGGAGTCCGGATCCCGCCGGACTGGGTCTGTATGGACTCTGGTCCGGCCAGATTGGGTCTGTGTGGACTCAATTCCTGCCCAGGAATTGAGTCCATCTTGGGCCCAGCCAGACTGGGTCTGTGTGGAGTCCGGATCCCGCCGGACTGGGTCTGTATGGACTCTGGTCCGGCCAGATTGGGTCTGTGTGGACTCAATTCCTGCCCAGGAATTGAGTCCATCTTGGGCCCATCCACATCTTGGGTCTGTGTGGAGTCAACCCAAGATGTGGACTCAAGCCTTGGCCGGACTGGGTACGGCTAGACCATGTCTCTCAAACTTCTTTGAGCTGTAAATGGTTACCAAAGTTTCTCCAAACTACTGACTTGAAGAATGCTGACGGATCCGACGGCTGTCGCCACGCAGACATATATCGCTGTGGCCGACAGTTTATTTACGGAGGACTTGTGAGAACTGCACATCGCATGCCCGACAGTATTATCAGTGGCGGCGGAACACCTTCAATTAAGGGGGGCACTGCCGACTTTTGGTCCCATTCTTTCCATGCAACGCCCATAGGGCTAATATTAAAATGTCAAAATCAAAGGGGGGCACGGTGCCCCGGTGCACGCAACAGAGAATGATATACGCTTGAGAACAAGCCGGGTTGCGGCAGGAAGAGTTCCGTCAGCCGGGTAGCGCGAATCGTCATCGCGAAGCGCGGTGCTAAAGACGGGCAATCCACACGGGAACTGGCAAGGAGGCTGACTGCCAACGGCCATCCAGTCTCCAAGTCGACAATCAATCGGTACCTGAGGTTGTCTCTGAAACTGAGGCCCATCAAGCCACGTCTCCAGCCGAAACTTCTGCTGAACATGTCCAGGGCCATCTTTCAACAAGACGGCGCCACGGCTCATCGAGCTAGAACGACACAGAAGTGGTGTCGATCGCACTTCCCGGCATTCTGGGAGGACAAATGGCCGGGGAATAGTCCCGACATGTCGCCGACAGAAAATCTTAGGGCCCGGTAAGAGGCTATCAAAATGGCACCAGGAACATCCAAAGGCACGCTGACCAAAAAACGTTTGATCTGCCTGGTCCAAGATCAGTCCACATAAGATAAACAAGTTGATGTCTGGCGTGCCGGACCGTATGCTTGTAGCAGGGAGAAGGGGGGATACATACGTATGAAAAGCGCAACTGTCATGTTTGTTATTTTCATGTAATGGACTCTGGAAAGGTGTGACATTATTTTTGGGACACCCTGTACATTCAGCGAGCACTCGCTGCTTGGCCTTCGGTGAAAAATTTGAGAGGGGTGAGGCGGCAAGACGCCTTCCAGGGCTCCCCATGAAAAGGGCGGCACAATCATGATCAGAGTGGCCTCGGCCGAGAGGCCCCCTTTCTGGTCACCAACGTGGCGAGTGTCTGGTGCCTCTGCCAGACGTGCAGTTCCGCAATACCCTGATCAAGGACCGTTTGCCCAATGTTTACAGAACAGAACGAGCAGACTTCCTCGGGACCTCCGACACTTCCTCGTTCCTTGTCAACGTCGCCAGCTGAAAAAGTCGGCGCAATGACGAACATGAACTTTGCTCGAGTGGCTTCGACTCCCGAGTCATGCAGAGGACACTTGAGCGACCGACCTGATTCGAGAATGTGCCTCGTCACACAAATAGAAAACCTCGCTCGATAAGCGTCAAGGCCCAAACAAGACGGATTACCTTTCTAGGCCAGGGACAGAGCTTGGGCATCAGTCAGGTCAGCGGTGACCAAGTCCCTGCCAGCACCCTTCATACACCCCAATCAAACTGAGCCCTGTTGTTGTATCCGAAGCGGTAGCCCACACCCAAACGCCCTCACGCACGTTCGCACGCCCAAGTGCCAACCCATTCTCCGCCAACATTGCAAACACAAACAGGCAGTGCAAATCATCACAGTGCGGCGGGCAAAACACAGGAAGTGCGGGTGTCAGAGGCCCGCAGTGAGCGACGGCGAGGGCCGGTCAGACGCCTATCGGCACGGCGCGGCGGCAAAAACCCGGCCTCGACGTGAGGAACCAATGGCGCGTAAAACGGTGATGACGTGTCCAAACTGCGCTACAAGTGAATGATAACGGTTTCGTCACATCGTTTGTTTGTTCGAGTGACACGTGCCTTAGCCATTGCACCTGATCAGTCCGTGAAGAGCAATATCAAAACTAAATGATATCACTCTTCATTGAGCAACATTGCAACGAACCCGTATCTCATCTACGTCGTAGCAGCCCATCCCGCCAACATTTCACTTCCCTTGAATGTTCACACTCAGCAAAATCCATTTCATGGACGAACACACTGGTCGTGGCCGGCGGTATCCCAACCTCCGCGGTTCCAGTTCTCACCTCTTGGAGGCCCTGGCCAGCAGTGGTCCCAGTACTCACCCCTATCTAACCCGAGGTCCCAGTACTCATCCCTCTAACCAGTGATCACCCGCCTAACCAGGGGTCTCAGTAGATCCCTCTCTCTATCTCGAGGTCCCAGTTCTCAACCCTCTAACCAGTGATTCCAGCACTGAGCCGCCTGCCCAGCGGTCCTGCAGTAGGCACTCACCCCTCGGTGGCCCTGGCCAGCGGTCCCAGTAGGCACTCACCCCTCGGCCGCTTACCAAGCGGTCCCAGTAGGTATGTACTACTACTCTACTAGTAAAGTAATCTTGCTACTACTCACCCCTCTGTGGCCCTGGCCAGCGGGTTGCCGCCGCTCTGCAGCAGTTCCTCAATGACGTCCAGCTGACCCCGGCGCACGGCATCGTGCAGCGGCGTGGCGCCGTCCGCATTCACGGCGTTCACGTGCGCGCCCCGGTCTGAGAGCAGAGGGAGACCCGACAGTCAGGACACTGCGCCGGGGGGAACAAACGGTGCCTCTTGCGGCGCCACCGACAGACAGAGATGAACAATATATTCAAAAATCTCAAAAATGTGTGCCTATCCGAGTGTTCTCGTTTTTTTTTTCCAGCTCCAGGGAAACCAGCTCAGTCATTAAACAGACAACCACCACAGGAAGGGCAGTGACAAACGGCTTTATGTGGCACGCTCCAGCGCAGTACAGCATGTAGCTTTTTCTTCTACTAATAGTCCGTTACCCATGATCAGGCAACCAGGAGTGCCCCCACCCTCAGTCCCAGCGACGCATAGCTTCAATGAAGACATACTGCACATACAACGGCATCGTTTGGACAGACTACGCCGAAGCCCTACAAGACATCCAGTGATGTTAGACTTCCTTAGAAACGCTCCAATGACCAGTGACCGCCCCCGGGAACCCCTCGGAGGTAACCGACAGTCGCTACCTCCACCCGGCCGCGCAGTTTGGCCGTCCACACGCGCAGAGGACAATAGACTACAGCAATCCGAGCCTATTGTCAACAATGGCCTGCGACCAAGGTCGGCGGCCGAAGCCGTGCTGACGGGGCTCTGGCACCGCCCCGACAGACACGCGCACGCATACAACACCGCACGTGCCGGGCACACTGTCCAACAGCTACGGCGCAATAGTCAGCGATATTAAGTCGTGGCATGGTCCTAATAAATGATTATGTTTCATTGGAAATTCGCCAACACCATGGATTTCAGAGCAGCTCCATTGTCGACTGTATTTATCGTGATAATATAATTCATAGACGCTGCCCTGCCAAAACCCAATATAAATGAGATTCAAATACAAAGTATCGCACGGTGCATCACCCGAAACTGGTAAGAGATGACGTCATCACCAGACAGACGGCATCTATCCCCTCCGCCGAGGTCACCGTCCTACTCCTGTCTGTTTCCATCGTTCTCAACAGCAGACCCACGTGCTACGACACACGCGCGCCAGAGCAGACATTGACCGCTCTAAACCAGGATTACGACGCTGAGCGAGACTGAACTATCTCGTTGTGGCGACATCGCACAAAACCAAATCGTACGCTACTGCACGCTCAGAAATGGATGCTTTTTACGCTTAAAAATAGCCACCAAATGCGACTGGGTGGGCTAATGTTGAATGAACCGTGGGCGCTCCGCCAGTAGGCGAGGAGCAGCGCCGCCGCCGTGGGCTCTGTGAGGTTTTCTGGCAGTGGCGGTGAATGCAGGGAGCACCTGGCCCACCGTCTGCCAGCGCAAGTGCACACTGCACAGCGACACGGCGCCGACAGCTGCCTCCTGCGGGCTGAGACAGCTGCGAACCGGGACTGAGGCTGAGGCTGAAGCTGTGGTGGAGAATCCTCGGGCAGAATCCTCGGGCATCCTCGTGCAACAGCAGCGGCACCTCACTCATCACTGTCAGCACATCTGTTCCGGGGTGCGATGGTGCTTATATTGCATCTTCATGGCATACTGGTCATCAAGGATGTGGTGTCGTAATGTCACGTGAGGTCGGGTCACAGGACCAGTGCTGCCGCCTGGTGGTGACATGACCCGGGTACGATCGGCTCGCGGAGCGGGAGTCGCCCGCTGACGCTTGAGCCGCGCGGAGCTGCGGTTACGTTTATTACTTTGTATCGTTGTTCATTGCTTATGTTAAATATAGGTACTGCGAGACAGTACAAAGGACAATACACAACCTCGATTTTTGATTGGTCGTGGCAATGTGACGCGAAACTGCAAGGCAGCATTTTTACAAAACGGTAAAAGCCTTCCCGTCAAGAATTCTGCCTAGTCTGACACATACCATGACCGAGGCCATTATCAGGTCACAGACATTTGTGCAAAACATCCATCACTGCCACTTGATGTGCTCTGTTCAGTGTTCACTGTTCAATGCTCCCTCCAGCTCGCCAAATGCTGAACATTATATTGGCTTCATCCAGACACGTATTGCCTTATTCCTCTCATCCACGGCCCTAAGCTCGGCGCTAAGCTCTGCCCACGTGTCAGGGATTTGTTCCGCCCCCAGACGGCAGGGTGCCCCGACCCGCCCCACGCGCCGGCGGCCCGATCACGTCGGCTATGCGGCGCCACACACCCCTCTGCGCTGGCCCGTCCGCTCGCTGGGCGTACTCGGACCAGTGACGTCACCGTGCTCAGTCCAGTGACGTCACGGCGCGGGCCGATATAGCGGCGGGCGGCGCGCCGGTCGGCAGTCGGAGCGGAGCAGCCGAGCGGGCGGCGGTGTGGGCGGGCGGACAGCGGCACCGGAGACCGAGCAGCGTGCGTCAGTGCAGACACTCAGTGCAGGACGCCGCCGTCGGACTCCCCTGTCTGAGAGCGAGAGAACTCACCGGAGACAAACCACCCCACCCGCGCGGCTCACAGCCAGGCCGAGACGGCGACTGGAGGCACAGCGCGACCCGAGCGAGTCAGCACGGAGTGGGCCGGCCGAGCGGCGAGCGGCCCCGCACCCGGCCCCCGGCGCGCCGGGCACACGCCATGGACACCTCCAGTGGCGCCGTCGTCCAGTGCCAGAAGCTGGCCGCCCTCAGCGAGGACCGCCGGGACGACATCTTCCGCAAGTGCATGTGCATGGTGAACCCGAGCGCGGAGCCGTGTGTGGCCACCCGGCTGGCCTCTGCCGACCAGCTCTCCTCGCCGGAGAACGGCACCGAGCCGGAGCCGGAGCCGCGCGACCCCGCCGAGGAGAACCTCATCAACTCGGACGTCTTCATCTATGTCATCGTTTTCATCGTCATCGTCTACTTCCTGACGTTCCTCTACCTGTGCATGAAGAAGCGGCAGCGCGAGGCGGCCGATGTGGAGGCGGCCGGCGGTGCGGGCCGCTCGCGGGGGCCCCGCGGCGTCGACGACCGGCCGCCTGCCTACGAGGACGTGGTACGGGAGGGCGCCGAGGGTGGCGACAAGAACTCGGAGCCGCCCACCTACGCCGAGGTACTGGCGCGCTCTCAGCAGCTCGACAAGCTCGAGGCGGGCTCCACGGGCAGCTGACGGGCCGCGGCTGGGAACGGACAGTGAACGGACCGGCCCGTATCGGACAGTGAACGGACGGGCCCCGACTGAACTGCTGTGATCGCCTGCGGGCGTCCCCCGCGCCAGTCGAACTGACGGTGTCGTGCTTTATATCAATGCAGTGCTTCATATCGTGTATCGTGTAATAATAAATGTTATTTTGTGTACACGTTCTGTGCAGCGGCCGGCGGGAGGAGCGCGAGGAGACGACGGAACACGAGAGGTATAGCTGGGGTGAGTCGGTCCTCGACGTCCAATCCCTGCCCCGCGGGCGTGCTGGGTCCGATCTCTGACCTTCGGCAGCGCCCGCCCCTCCCTGACCCGCACTAAGACAGCCAAACGCACAGTCCGAGTGCATTGACCCAAGCCCGCACCAATGCGTAAACATACAGCCCAGTCTGTCCCTAATTGACGGCTTTTCGCCCGCGCTGCCACTGCGGGGCGTCCAGCCCCTACTGAGGGAGGGGAGAGTCCCAGGGAGGGATAATGGAAGAGGCTCGGCCCCACGGAGAGCGCACTGCGCAGCCCTCCCTCACCCCAGGGAGAAGAGGCAGCTGGCAGCCGGCCCGTGCATGCAGGCTATTTGCATTGCATGGCGTAATGTCTGCAGCAGGTTCGCGGATAGGCCTGCAGATACCGCGGTCCGGGCAGCCCTCGTGGCCATGCACGGCGTCACAATACGCTGCACAGCGCCCCGGCACAGCGCCGCGCTGCCTCCCAGCCCGGGGCGGTGCAGCTCGGTAGTGCGCACATGTCCAATCGGCCGCCAAACGCGGACAGTCAGCTCTGTGGTGACCCTGGCCGTGCGTCAAAACAGCGGCCCGTCCTGGCGCACTGGCCAGGTGCAGACACCGCCCCTTCAGCTGTAGTGGGCCGTCCACGACCTCTGGCCGAACACCGGCGCCGCTGGGGGCTATCTCCGTCCCTCTCGTCCCCGGCAGCCGGCCTCGGGCCACTGACCGCGGGACAGCGCTGTTTGCCGACAGCGCCGACACCAGATCAGTAACGTAACGCTGCCGCACGGAACAACAACAGGAAAACCGGGTGTGACGTGACTGATACCATCTACCTTCAGATACTATCAACGATCTACATAGTACACAGCCAAACGAGACAAAGTGGGCTGTTGATTAAAGCCCAAAACGACGAACGACTTCAGTCCAACGCTTTGTTAAAGCGCGTATCCGGAATATTCTGAATATTTTCGGAGTTGGAAGACTGGTGAGGCCGGCGAGCGGGGACGGTTTGATGGCAGTATAAACAGCGGCCGGTGGCGGCGGCCGTCACCATATACACTGTCGCAGGGCGGCGTCACCGGCGCGGGCCTGTTTACTCTGAGTGGTCGGCCGGTCGGCCGGCCCAGTGCCGCCCGGCCCGGGCACTGACCAGAGCCGCCGCCGACCCGGCAGTCCGGGCCGGCACGGTGCAATGTGCCGGGTCAAAGGTCTGCCCGTGGCCGCCGGCTGCCAGACAGGTTCCAGCTGTGAGAGCCTTGGGCTGGGAGGGGCTAAGGCTGGGAGGTAGAGCCTGCATGGCCACCGCCTGCGTATGTATATCACAGTGACGGCGAAACAAACCTATCACAATGTGTTTGCAGCTTCGCGGCAGCTGCAACACTCATCAATCACCAAAGAGATAGAGACGACAGAGGTGACCCAGTTGTAGATCGTTACGCAACGTTATCAGCGGTGACAAAGATCAATATACTCTCAGTACACAGCGAGTGATTTATTGAGTCGTTCGCTCGAATGTGTGCACAGTTTCGATACGCTGACAGTCATAAGCCACATTGCGCCGCTATGACGTTGGACAGCCCCCCCCCTCTGCACGTTCCGCAGCCCTCCCCCCCCAGTCCCTGGACCAGCCCGGCATGCGGTCGCGGTGATCAACGTTCACACGTGCACCATACTCGTGCACAGTG